TAAGCGTGTCTAATGCAATTTTGGCACGCATATCTGGCTGAATAAAACCCTCTCAGTTATCTTACGGATACTGGTAGCGATATATGAAACAATGTCAATTCAGGTCGCTATTTGAAAGTGATGTATCTTTTTGAGTCTCACACTTCTACCAATTCTTCTCCACGCAATCAACTGTCGTCATGACCTTAACTGAAACTCAATTATATAGGAAGAGAGAATAATAAGTGATTTAAGTGATTCCATTTATTTTAATACATAAACATACAGAGTGTAATCTTCAATTAAAAAAAAATAATAAAGCGCGTAAACACTGAACAGTCAAGTTAATTTCGAACGAATCACAATTATTTTGTAGAATAGACAAAGACAAATATTTAATATTTCACCCAATTATGCTCTGATTAGTTACAAATAATAAAAACATAGTTTTAATAGTGGGCCATTCAATGGCCGTGCCAGACTATGTAAATGTGTGATTGATCTAAAAAGAATCAGATGGTTTGATTTGTATGACACACTTCTTGGCGCCTTATCTAGTGACATATGTAGTTTCTATTTACTTTTACTATCGGTAGTTTGTATAAACAATTCAATTTAGTTTTACTCTTGAAATCACTATAAAAGACCATCGATTTTTGAAGAAAAGCATCATTCAGTGTCTAGTGCTCTAACAAGCCTAAGTAAAATTCAATTTACTTTCGACAAATCTGTAAAAGAAAAAAAAACTTTTCAAAATGAAGGTTACATTGGTATTCATTGCTGTTTTGTTCGCTATCATTGTGAGTACTCAACGACCAAACCATATTATCCAAATTCAAAGATATTAATATCAAAATAAATCATTTGATAGGCACTCACCTATGCTGAAGCCGAGCCAGAACCAGAAGCATCAGCCGATCCAGAATTGTTTGGAAATCGTTTAATTCTTGGGCATCATGGTATGAATCTTCGAGTACGATTTACATTTTAACATATTTATAAAATACGATTTTTTTTTACTTTAGGAAAAAATTCCAATTTGGGATTAAAAGAAAAAAAAACAGTTACAGTTCGTCGTTGCCGATGCAGACGACGAAGATGCCCATCTGCCAGTGCTGCAACTTGTCCAAATGTCTGTGGTTCAACATCGTCAAGTAACAGCACATCTAGTACAGCGTCGACCGCATCAACTGGTATATGTCTATCATCATCTGGTCAAATCATCAAATTTTACATTTTGAACTAACTAAATTTCACCTTTTTAGCCTCAACTGCTTCCACATAAATCCAACTCTCATAGACAACTTTATAGATTTTCAATGGAACCGATTATCCTTGCTCCTCATTTATTCGTGCTATTTATTACGAAACGATTAGACTAGTTCATAAATATTGTTCAATTAATTGCACAGAACAAATTTTACTTTTAGTAAATTAAAACAATATCCAATAATAAAAGTTAAATATTTATTCATGCAAATTAACATCAATTGTTTTATTCTATCTAACCAAAACAAATACCAAATATGTCGCCAGTATATAGATTATTTCAATTCCATTCAACCAAAGTCGATACAAATGGCAAGCAATAGGTGGAGCTGATAAAAGGCCGATACTACAATTAATATTTTTGTCACTAATCATAAACAGTTGTACAAGATCGATTTAAAGCAAAATGATTGAGTAAAATAAAAGTATCATTTAATAAATTCTTTCATTAATCAATCAATGGGATACTATCAAAAAAGCTATATTGAAAGTTTCATTTGTTCATGAATACTTGTCCTCCTTCGCATCGTTGCAAAATATGATCCTGTAATCTATTCTAACCGATTTATGGCCTGTAATTCATGAAATTAAGCGTAAAAATGTGTTACATTAAAATGTCACGGAACAATAACATTTATGGTAAATGCTCTATAAAAGTTATTCCCGACAAATTATTGGCATTAATAAAATGCTTCTTTATGTAGCAAATGAAAAAGAAGTCGGTGAATAAGAAGCATACTCTGGAAACATTTGAGTAAATTTCAAAAAGACTAGCAAGTCTATTTGACAGAAGCGAGTGTTCATAGATTCGATCTGGAAATGTGTTCATTACTTTTATTTTCATGTAATTCATACTTCATTCAATAGACAAATGGATTATGAAAAGCTTACAGAATCTGTTTAAAGCTGGTAAAAAATTCCGACCATAAAAAATATCGTATATATTATAAAATTGGATTATAACGCTTTCAAATTTCACGATTTTCATTCCAAACAAAAAATTCAGTGTTTCCAAAAAAATGTGCGGTCTTTTGTGAGCTGTGTATGTTTAAAACCAAACGAAAATTGAATGGAATGTAATATTTTAATAGATGTGTGATCGACCCAAGAAACATATAGGGGACGATGTTTACTCGCAATAAAAATGTATACTCTTCAATAGAACTAATGAAACTATGCTTTACTTTTGCTGATTAGTTCCTTTTTTGTAGTTGATTAAATATTGGACATAACAATCGATAATTTACATGTTTTATTTTAAAGATGTGCTTTCACTTGATAACAGATTTTAATCATTCGTATTCTACAAACGATAGAAATGTTTCATATTTACATAAACAAGTTCACCTTAGGTATAAAAACGTATTGAGTGTTCGATTCGTTTTGCAGTTGCTGCAAAATATTGTTTGCACATACTCAATAAGATTTCAAATCTGGTGATTTAATTAGTATTGTACACTTGCATTGTGTGCTGAGTATATCGTATTTTTAGCGGGTCAAGTAAATGTAGCCTCAAAATATCAGACTCTTGGTAACCTCAAAAAACATATTTTAGGCGCCTAATCAGTATACAATGCATATTTATATATTGACAATTAGATTATTCTTTGGTTTGTGCAAATAAATCTCATCGATTTTGCGACGAAATTGCACATATAAATAACGATCAATTTTGTACCATTTTCATCAGTCAGTTTGCACTGTTTATTGCAAAACTAAGTAAAAACAGTACTCTTAACTGAATTCTGCTCAATATTAAGATATAAAAAATTGCATAAAAAATCCATTCAAAATGAAAATTTCATTGTTGTTCATGTGCGCTGTGTTCGCCGTTGTTGTGAGTATTTCGTAAATTAAAGATGAAGACAAGTGTGAATTTGTAAGTTTATGTTCAATTTTTCTTTTCACGTAGACGATTACATTTGCTGATCCAGAACCAGAGGCTGAGCCAGAAGCAACGATTTCCAAGGGCGGTGGAGGATTATTCAGTGGATTATTTTCCAAAAAAAGACCTCCGCCCTCTACAGGCACAAGTACAATATTAGTGCGGAAATGCTTATGCAGGTCAGTTGCAAAAAAATGAGATTAGAAAGAACCTATTTTCGATTCATAAAAGTAAACCTGTATTTCAATGCTAACACAGATACAAAAAATGTCCAACGATGTCATCATCATCATTATCATCATCATCATCATCATCATCATCATCATCATCATCATCATCATCATCATCATCATCATCGAGCTGCAAATCAAGATGCAAAAAGAAGTGTCCAACTATATGTTTCATAAAACCAGTGACTAGTTCACCAGTTACAAATACACCAAGCAGTGAAAGTACTAGCTCCAGTGGAGCCACTACTAGCCCCAGTGGTACCACTGCAACTAGTGGCACTGGAACTGGTAGCACTGCAACTGGTAGCACTGCAACTGGTAGTACTGCAACTGGTAGTACTGCAACTGGTAGTACTGCAACTGGTAG